GGTGAGCGCCACAGGGATATTGCGGGGGGGGGGGGGGTGTCTCATTCCAGAGGGCAGGGGCCCAGCAGAGAAAGCCGGCTTCCTGGCTCCCAATAGGTGGCATTAACTGAAAGGACTCAGAGTGTGCCAGCCCTGTTGGATGGAGCTGGCTGGGGGGATACCGCAGGAGGTAGGCAGTCCCTCAGGTAACCAGGCCCTCTGCCATGTAGGGATTTATAGGTCATAACTGGCATCTTCAATAACTGGCAGCATACTGGCCACCAGCACAGCCTGTGAAGCACTGGAGCTGTTCCGCTGTTCTGGAGCGACCGGTCCATCTCCTTTTGGTCAGAGAAAGCCATTCTGCTTTAACATGGCTCTGCAGTGTATTTTGACTGTCAGAGGAAGCTGGCCCATTTTCCTTGCTCAGCATCCAGGACATAAGGAGCACTGTTGAACTGGATTTGTGAGGCTCATTCCCCTTTTTCCAGGAGCTGTCAGTGAGAGGGGCAATTCCAAGGGGCTGGCAACAGAGCCAGAGGGGAAAGCAGTCCCAGCCCATCACGGGTGCCACTGCCCAGTCCTTCAGCAGAGGCTGCCAGGAACAGCAGCGCCACGCAAAGGCCAGACCCTAACCCTAACCCTAACCCTAACCCTCTCCTCAGGGCCAGTCAGGCTTTTGTGGATCAGTTGGTGGGGGTGGGGGTGGGGTGGAGAGCCCTTAGGTCAGGCTCTGTGCGGCACTTCACTTTAGCAATCACAGATCAATGCTAGACCACTTGTAATTTCAGGGACTGCAAAATTTACCTCCTTTCACATTCCATTAAAACAGCCAAAAATAGAGAATGTTCCCAACTGTGTTGCTAACACTTTTGGAATATTTTCCAGTCATGAAGGGCCAGCCAAAAACGTCCCCCTTCCCCTACCAGGGATTTCATGAAGGGTCTGCAGGCTAAAGACCCCCTTTAAGCTCTGCTTCGGAAACTTCAATGCAGCGTTGCCTCCTAGACTGGGTCAGGTCTTCTCCAGATGGTGGCTCTTCCCGCCCCCACCGGGCCACAGGGAACGGAAAGCCTTGGC